CCCCCTCCCCCCTCCCCCCGGCGGCTTAGAGCAAATTTCCTTCGCATCTTTATTATGATAATTATTTACAAACGTTATTTCTCAGTCCACAGCAGGATTCGAACCTGCAAACTCGGCATCAAAACACACAGTACTTTATTAACACAGCCAAACTCCGGATTGTTACATTTGGGAAAGAAGCGCTAGACTCATATGGGTCACCTGCTGACGACTTTGACATTCACTTTAAAAAAATGTCCAGGAATGTTACATGTTCACCAGGATGGTGGATTAGAGAGAGAGAGAGAGAGAGAGAGAGAGAGAGAGAGAGAGAGAGAGAGACTTAAGACTAGGGTTAACAAAACAGGGGATAAAAACACTTTAGGAATGGCCGACAAAGACACGCTGGAGGGAACCACGACTGAGAGAGGTAGTTCCCTCGGGGTACTCACGTCCATGGGTGGGAGGCAGGGCACCAGCGGCAGGTTATCCGTCCTGACGGTGCCGCTGAAGGGCAGGTAGCGGGTATGGGCAGGCAAGCGGCGGGTGGCACACACCTGGATGCAGTCTTCTGCAGGTGGCAGCGGCGGGCGACCCAGGGGCGGCGCCCCCAGATGGTTTAGCGCCGGCGGTAAGGAAGTGAGAGGAGGAAAAGGAGAGGCGAAGTGGTTGAATCCGCCAGATAGGTGAAGGGGCGGCACTCTAGGGGCGAGGTGCGGCAGCAGGTGCAGCAAGGAGGCCACCCTGGCCTGCTGCTGCGGCGTCTCCACCTTCAGGGCGAACTCCGCCGGCAGAAGGACGCAGGTCTCCACCAGCGGGGTGCCGTCAGCCAGCAGCATCTCTGCTGCAGCCAGGGCTGGCACGGAGGCTCTCTGCTGAGCCACCAGCATCACCTTAAACACTCAACACCGGCAGCGTTCCTCGCCAGCTGTTGTCTCTTTTATCACCCATATTGTGGCACTTTACAAAGTTTCGCTCACTGAGACATGTTTCCACACTAATATACATTTACCTGGGACAGAATAAAGCTTAAAATAATGCCGTATTTTCCGGCATATAAGGCGCAAGACAGAAGTATCATAACGGTGAATCGGTAAATCGCATTCAGGGTAAATTACCCTCTTACTTTACGCTAAAACGTAACCCTAAGCCGACCCTTGATCCTGATCGTAAGCATATAAGGCGCAGGCTGATTTTTCAATACGTTTTGTGGAAAAAAGGCGCTTTTTATATGCAGGAAAATTCGGTGATTGCTTAATGTTAAACATTATAATATGCAGGATCAGCTTTCTCGAAATGCTCTGCAATTACCCGGGGGCTTTCCAGTAAGTCTGTACAGAATGCCATCTAATTTATCAAAATTGTATACTGTAGTTTCTGGTAATTCAATTTAATTTTACTTGCAGCATAATGCATTTGCCAGCAAGACCACAACACAAACAGCAGCCTGTTACACCACGACACAAACAGCAGCCTGCTACACCACGACACAAACAGCAGCCTGTTACACCACGACACAAACAGCAGCCTGTTACACCACGACACAAACATCAGCCTGCTACACCACGACACAAACATCAGCCTGCTACACCACGACACAAACATCAGCCTGTTACACCACGACACAAATATCAGCCTGCTACACCACGACACAAACATTAGCCTGCTACACCACGACACAAATATCAGCCTGCTACACCACGACACAAATATCAGCCTGCTACACCAACTCATCAAAATCAACCAGCAACACCACCATCAAGCAGCATCTAACACAGTCATTACAAAACTCAAAAGGGAATCCAGGATTCACCATCTCGCGTCTATTCACAAAGTTGATTCAACCTCGACAAGACAACAGCAACGAGACGACATCCAACCAAATGTCTCTACGAACTCGCCACTCATCACTGTATTCCTGACGTGACCTTCCACCACTTTACCTGACCGAAAGTCAAACCGGTCGAGGGATTCCTTTGAAACCGATCGCAATCATATTTACGCGTTTGAATCTGTTCTCTCTGATCACTTCTCTAAGGAAAATTAGAATTAATATTGAAGCACTTCTCGGTTATGTAAGCCTTTTTTTGACGAGTAAGACACTTGTACGATAGATGAGTATCTTGACTGTCGATATGTATCGCCTACACATCAGGTATCTTCAGCCTGCTGTGTAGGCGTCCTCCAGAGGGCGAAACAGTTCCCTAGTTGAGTAACCCGAGTTTTGAGTGTTTTCCCTTCACAGTTTGCGGGTGTTGGTGTACCTAGTACTTGTACCTGATACTTGTACCCAGTACTTGTACTACCATCTGCTTGTACCTATTCCTTGTGTCTATTGCTTGTTCCTATAACTTGGGCCCAAGACTTGTACCTAATACTTGTATCTAATGTTCGCACCTAGTACCTGCACCTAGTATAGCTCATCTCCAGTACTTGCATCTGATACTCGTATCTAGTAATTGTACCTGGTACGTGTACCTGGTACTTGGATCTAGTAATTGTACCTGGTACGTGTACCTGGTACTTGGATCTAGTAATTGTACCTGGTACTTGTACCTAGTACGTGTATCTAGTAATTGTACCTGGTACGTGTACCTGGTACTTGGATCTAGTAATTGTACCTGGTACTTGTACCTAGTACTTGTATCTAGTAATTGTACCTGGTACGTGTACCTGGTACTTTGATCTAGTAATTGTAAATGGTACGTGTACCTGGTATTTGTATCTAGTACTTGTACCTGGTACTTGTACCTGGTACTTGTACCTGGTACTTGTACCTGGTGCTTGGATCTAGTAATTGTACCTGGTACTTGTACCTGGTACTTGTACCTGGTGCTTGGATCTAGTAATTGTACCTGGTACTTGTACCTGGTACTTGTACCTGGTGCTTGGATCTAGTAATTGTACCTGGTACTTGTACCTGGTACTTGTACCTGGTACTTGTACCTGGTGCTTGGATCTAGTAATTGTACCTGGTACTTGTACCTGGTACTTGTATCTAGTGACTACAACAATTCTAATATTCCCGGATAATATCTGGCGGGCAGTTCCCGCAGATTAACTCTCACCTTCAAACTGCTAAATGCTTCTCTGAGCACCCTTAGGGGTTTAGCGCTTGTTTTAATACAATACTACTGCTACTACTACTGATAATAATAATAATAATAATAATAATAATAATAATAATAATAATAATAATAATAATAATAATAATAATAATAATAATAATAATAATCTATATCCCTCAAATATCTTATTTTCTACCAGTGTTATGATTGTTATGATTATTAATTATTTATTATTTTAATTGTTAATTGTGATCATCGTTATTATAATTGTTATTTGTTCATGGGTAAGCGCTAAACCCGTAGGAGTCGTACACCTTCTGGGAAATGGAAAGTAATCAAGTTTGATCCAAGAAATGAGTGTCTTGCTTCAGTTCCTTGGATCAGGATCCCTTCACCGGCATCGTGGAACCTCCGTTGAAGTACTTCCAGTGATGGCCAACCGAGATTCGATCCCGCAACACTGAATGACCCTCGCGGGTTTAACGCTTCACTTGAAGTATTTTAACTAAACTGGTGTTTTAATACCATTAGACGCTAAACCCGCGCTGGGGTATAGCCTAGGAGTGGTGTAGACTCAATTCTCTGTCCGCATTTGATCCAACAGACTGTTGGTACTGGTCAGAAATGATGTAATTGTACATTCTTCCTGCTTTATTGTTTATTTTTATTGACCAATTCCATATTAATCTATCTATATCGGCAATATATATATAATATATATATATATATATATATATATATATATATATATATATATATATATATATATATATATATATAATATATATATATATATATATATATATATATATATATATATATATATATATATATATATATATATATATATATATATATATATATATATATATATATATATATATATATATACCGTGCCAAATAGGTAAAATTGGTCATTTAGCAAGAACTCATTTAAAATTAAGCCTTTTTCTAAAATATTCTCTTATATGTTTAAATCCAACTATATATATTTTAGATAAGTTTACAATAATTCAATAATGAAGAAACACAATGAAATATATGTTTTTCGTTAGGTTCAGAATGATTTTTGCTAGATTATTGCATACACAAATTTTCGCTTGCCTTACTCGGCAAGAAGAGCGTTGCTATTTAAGTAAGTTTTACCTATTCGCACGATTTATTATATATATATATATATATATATATATATATATATATATATATATATATATATATATATATATATATATATATATATATATATTATATATACTTTGTGTGTTAGGTATTAAACTTTGTGTTAGAAAGAGAGCACACATGCCTCGAGTGTCGGGTGGAAGTGCTGTTGTCAGATTAGTGGCACTGTGGTTGCTGCCGCTGTGTCACCTGCGGCAGTGCCACTCTCGTTTGGGCTTCCTGAGGGTGGACAAAAAGCGCAAGTCGTGACTCAGGTGGTGGTGGGTGTTAGTGGTGGGTGGGTGGGGTCGTGGTGGGTTTTGGGTGTTTGTCGGAGGTGGGTGGGAGGGATGGGGATGGGTGAGAGGGGTCGTACGGGATGGGGACGGGTTTCTTGTCGGCCAGGGCACTTTAAGAGAATCCAGGAGTATAGTGGGGTTGAGTTAAGGGAAGGGGTAGGGGGGCTAGTGCGGGAGAGAAGGAAGGGGTTAAGGGGAGAGGACCCAGTAAGATACCATTGGTCTCACACTGTCAGACACTGCACAACGGTATCTTGGTACAGAGAATACCTACAATAACTTTATTGCCTCTCCACTAGTTACCAATGAGAAAGGTTAGATTTGAGAGTTACCTAACCAGCAGACTTGCTACACTGCCTCTCAGTTATCAGTCTTACTTCTACTAGCCGGTGCCGCCTCTTCTGTCGTCTGGAAGATTTTCTGCTCCTCACCTATGTTGTATCAGCTTCACATTGTTCCAGACTGAGGGACTGACCACCTCAAAACTACGTCATCGATGGTGATGGACTGATTACATTGTCTCTACATCTCCACTCCTTCCGTTTTCTCTTCTGTATTCAACTGAGGGGGCGAAACGTTTCGAAATAAAGATACCTAACTGTTGCAAAATGTGTTTTATTTATCTACTCGTCGGCACTGTATATCACTGTTATATTTGGAGGAAGAATAGTTAATTCGGGTAAGAATGTAACAATTAGAAGAATGACAGTGTTGGTATGAGTCAATGATCTGTATATTAACGTAAGAATGGAGAAACACTGCAGCAGGAAACGTCCTTTTGAAATTCCACCCATCCTACCCAAATATTTATTCAACCTGCTTTCAAAGCTGCCCACTGAATGGACTTCAGTGACGCTAATAAACATTTGAGAATCTTCGCTCGGAGGAGTTTATATAAGCCCTTCTCCACGCATATGTTCTACCTCTATCAAGATTAATGGACTGAATACATCATATCTAGACTGAGGGACTGATTACCTAAAAGTCCTCGTCTCCCTCCGTTCTTCCCCGTATTGAACTAATGAGGCCATTGGCTGGCGAATTTAAATTTATCTACTGTAACTCCTTTACTTCGATTCTTTTTTTTGGATTACATATCCCCAGTACTGTATAATATCTTTATTTATGGCAGTCTTCCAGCTGTAATGTTTGATTCTGTCTCTCCTCATACTAGTCTCTCAAGAGAGAAAAGATTCAGGGTTCTCAGTCTGTCTTACTATGAAGGAGTTCTTATACACTGGATTAATTCTGTCTTCCTTCTCTCTATGTTCTCTGACGCATTTATATCATCTCTGTAGAACGAAAATTAGAACTGAGTAGCATAATCTAAGTTCTTATCAATGATGCTGTATATCAATAGTATGCAATACCGACAATTATTATTATTATTATTATTATTATTATTATAATCAAACAGAAGCGCTAAGCCACAGCGCTGACAATACCGACAAGATGATGAATTAGACACAAGTGTAACATCTGGGTATCTTTACTTTGTAGACGTTTCGTCATCAAGACGACGGTGCTCATCACCTGCTCCAAGGCTGATGATCTCATTATCTCATCTTCTATCTTCTGTATACATTTCTATAGACTTATCGGTTTTCAAACCATTTATCACATCAGATTATGTCCTTGTACTGTGTAGATAAAAGCCACTGGATGACGAAACGTCTACAAAATAAAGATACCCAGATGTTGCACTTGTGTCTAATTCACGAACAGATGCATAGACTCCTGTTGCTTACTCTTCTTGATATAAACCCTTACACAGTCTTATTGCGCAGACTTAGGTACTGCTGTCCAGGCTTCAGATTTAGGATTACCATGACTCCCAAGTCCTTTTCAAATTGTCTCTGATCAAGTTCTTCATTCTTCAGTTTGTAAGTACCGAGGTTATCTACATTCTCGAGGATTGGGACTTGCATTTATCTACCAACATTAAACTGCATCTGCCACTTGTCAGGCTACAACATTAGTTTGTTTAAGTTTTGCTGGAGTTCAGTGGTATCTTCCTCTGGATCATATTACGACAGTAAACAAACCAGGGTACGGGTGAGGTTAGAACCCATGGCGAGTGAGTCGTGAAACTCCTGGCCAGTGCGTATGCCACTTGGCTAGCTGGCTACAATAAGATTCATCCAGTTAGGTATATTTATACACTATAGGGAGGTTAGCTTCCCTATAATGTATCAATATACCTCCAGTGTTGTCAGCACCAGTGTTGGAACTGTCAACCCTCCAATGTTGTCAACACCAGTGTTGGAGCCATCAACTCTCCAGTATTGTCAGCACCAGTGTTGGAACTATCAACCCACCAGTGTTACACCAGTGTTGGAGCCATCAACCTTCCGGTGTTGTCAACACCAGTGTTGGAACCATCAACCCTCCAGTGTTGTCAACACCAGTGCTGGAACCATGAACTCTATAGTGTTGTCAACACCAGTGTTGGAACTATCAACCCTCCAGTGTTGTCAACACAAGTGTTTGAGCCATCAACCCTTCAGTGTTGTCAACACCAGTGTTGGAACTATCAACCCTCCAGTGTTGCCAACGCCAGTGTTGGAACTATCAACCCTCCAGTGCTGTTAACACCAGTGTTTGAGCCATCAACCCTTCAATGTTGTCAACACCAGTGTTGGAACTATCAACCCTCCAGTGTTGTCAACACCAGTGTTGGAACTATCAACCCTCCAGTGCTGTCAACACCAGTGTTTGAGCCATCAACCCTTCAATGTTGTCAACACCAGTGTTGGAACTATCAACCCTCCAGTGTTGTCAACACCAGTGTTGGAACATCAACCCTCCAGTGCTGTCAACACCAGTGTTTGGACCATCAACCCTTCAATGTTGTCACACCATGTTGGAACTATCAACCCTCCAGTGTTGTCAACACCAGTGTTGGAACTATCAACCCTCCAGTGTCTGTCAACACCAGTGTTTGAGCCATCAACCCTTCAGTGTTGTCAACACCAGTGTTGGAGCTATCAACCCTCCAGTGTTGTCAACATCAGTATTGGAACCATCAGCCCTCCAGTGTTGTCAACACCAGTGTTGGAACCATCAACCCTCCAGTGTTGGAACTATCAACCCTCCGGTGTTGTCAAGACCAGTGCTGGAACTACCAACCCTCCAGTGTTGTCAAAACAAATGCTGGAACCATCAACCCTCCAGTGTTGTCAACACTAGTGTTGACAACACTCTTTCTCTCACTTCGCCTATAAAAACACAGGAAAAAGCTAACCCATTTTTTTTGCATCAAAACACTGTCCTTGTTATAGACGTTTGTCTGTTACCTTTGTCATTACCTTTGTCATTACCTTTGTCATTACCTTTGTCATTACCTTTGTCATTACCTTTGTCATTACCTTTGTCATTACCTTTGTCATTACCTTTGTCATTCCCTTTGTCATTACCTTTGTCATTACCTTTGTCATTACCTTTGTCATTACCTTTGCGTTAATCGTGAAGATCACTCATGTCATGTGTGTATATATATATATTTTTTTCGACATTTTTTTTCAACCAGTTCTGGACGTTTGATATATGTTGCGATGGTTTGGTAGTCACTGTTCACCGTTCACCTTTTTTGGTTGTCACTGCTCACCGTTCACGTGTTAAGCGTATCATTGCTCAGTTCAGGTTTTCTAAGGGGTCACTGCTCATATTTCAGGTGTTGTGAGAAGTCACTCACTTCACTTCAGTGTTTCTATAATCACTGCTCACAGTTCAGGTGTTATGAGGATCACTGCTCACAGTTCAGGTGTTATGAGGATCACTGCTCACAGTTCAGGTGTTGTGAGAATCACTGTTCACAGTTCAGTGTTAGAGAATCATGCTCACAGTTCAGGTGTTATGAAGGAGTCATGCTCACAGTTCAGGTGTTATGAGAATCACTGCTCACAGTTCAGGTGTTTATGAAATCACTGCTCACAGTTCAGGTGTTATGAGAATCACTGCTCACAGTTCAGGTGTTATGAGAATCACTGCTCACAGTTCAGGTGTTATGAGGATCACTGCTCACAGTTCAGGTGTTATGAGGATCACTGCTCACAGTTCAGGTGTTATGAGAATCACTGCTCACAGTTCAGGTGTTATGAGAATCACTGCTCACAGTTCAGGCGTTATGAGAATCACTGCTCACAGTTCAGGTGTTATGAGAATCACTGCTCACAGTTCAGGTGTTATGAGAATCACTGCTCACAGTTCAGGTGTTATGAGAATCACTGCTCACAGTTCAGGTGTTATGAGAATCACTGCTCACAGTTCAGGTGTTTTGAGAATCACTGCTCACAGTTCAGGTGTTATGAGAATCACTGCTCACAGTTCAGGTGTTTTGAGAATCACTGCTCACAGTTCAGGTGTTATGAGAATCACTGCTCACAGACAGTACACATGATTCTCTCATCTCCAAGTCAACATTATTTTCCAAACGCGAGGAACATTATAGGGTAGTTTACTGGAGGGATGATAGCCACGGTAATTACGTTACCTTCACGCTTCTACGATCACATGAGCCCCCCCGCCCGCTCGCCCGTCCGCTCGCCCGTCCGCTCTCCCGCCAGGACTACCAAAAGTCAATCTGCTTTTTACTCGACAGGATTTGAGGTTCACATGGCTGTTTGGGGACACTGATATACACTACACGGCCCGCTGCTCCTGTGTGTGTGGGAGGGGGCTGGTGCTGTGTATGGGGGGGCTGGTGCTCTGTGAGTGTCGGAGGGGGCCTGGTGTTGTGTGTCTGGTGCTGTATGTGGGGGGCTGATGCTTGTGGGAGAGGGCCTGGTGTTGTGTGTCTGGTGCTGTGTGGCGGGGCTGGTGCTGTGTGTGTGTGTGTGTGTGTGTGTGTGTGTGTGTGTGAGGCCTAGTGCTGTGTTTGTGTACAGCTAGTTCTGTATGTTTATGTGTGGGGCTGGTGCTGTGTGTTCGTGTGGAACTGGTCCTGTGTGGGGGGCTGGTGCTGTGTGTGGGGGCTGGTGCTGTGTGTGTGTGGGCTAGTGTTGTGTGTGTGGGGACTGGTCCTGTGTGTGTAGGGGGCCGGTACTTTGTGGGGGGGGAGGGCTGGTGTTGTGTGTGTTTATGGAGCTTATCCTGTGTTTGGGGGTTGATCCTGTGCGTATCTAGGGGCTGGTGTTGTGTGTGTGTTTGTGGGGGCTAATCCTGTGTGTGTGAGGGCTGGTCCTCTGTGTGGGGCGTCACGTAACTATCACTTATGCAAGCTGCACTCTGGTTAATACACACGCTGGCTAATACACACATGTGGTCACCTGGCTGAAGGTACTGAGCGCCCAGAGGCTGTCATCTCACCCACCACCTTCCTCAACACCTCCTCCGAACCAAAGGGGTTTATCAGACTGCCAGCCCTTGGCCGAGGGGTTTTGGTAAGCTACCCACGGTGTGGTGGGCACTGTGCCCCGTGCCCGCTGGCTTCGCGGAGCTTTATAAATTTCCTTGAAGGAATCCCGGCGTATGGGAATGACCGTCGATGCGTTGTTGACTGCGCTAAATGCGGTAATGAAATTTACTTGAAAATTCCGTGAAGGACCGTGCCGGTCTTGAACGAAAGTGAAGAGCTGCTTGGAGGGGCGTTTAGCCCCGCCCACCGGCCAATCAGAATGCGGGGGGCGGGGCCGCGAGCCGTGACGTCACGGGGGCGGGGCCTAAAGCGGTGACGTCACACTGTCAGTTCCTCACAAGATGTCACGAGGAACCCTGAGGAGTTTCATGATTATTTGTGGGCAGTGTGAGAGCACTGTGGGTAGTATGGGAGCAGTGTGGGAGCACAGCGGGAAGTGTTGGAGCACAGTGAGCAGTATGGGAGCACTGTGGGTAGTGTAGGAACAATATGGAAGAACTATGGGCAACGTGGGAGCACTGTTGGGTGTGTGAGTGGACTGTGGGCAGTGTGGAAGCAAAGTGGGTAGTTTGGGAGCACCGTAGGCAGCGTGGGAGCAGTGTGGGAGCACTGTCAGTAAAGTGAGAACACTGTGGGAGCAATGTGGACAGTGAGGAACCACTGTGGGTAGTGTGGGAGAATTGTGGGTAGTATGGAGCATTGTGCGCAGTGTGGGGGTACTGTGGGTAGTGTGGGAGAACCATGGGAAGTGTGGGAGCACTGCCGGTAAAATGAGAACATTGTGGGAGCACTGTGGTCAGTGCGGGAGCATTGTGGGCAGTGTGAGTAGACTGTGCGCAGTGTGGGTGGACTGTGGGCAGTGTGGAAGCACTGTGGATAGTGTGGAAACACTATGAGTAGAGCGGAAACAGTGTGGAAGCAGTGTGAGAGCACTATGGGTAATGTGGGAGTATTGTGGGTAGTGTGGGAGCACAACAGCCCATGCACCTCACCGACTCCCCCACCACCCACGATCTCCCAACAACTCACCGACTCCCCCCACCACCACCCATCGTCTCCCCACATCCCACCGTTTCCCCCACCACCCACTGTCTCATCCACCACCCATTGTCTCCCCTCCACCCACTGCCTCCCACCACCCACCGTCTCCCCCACCACCCATCGTCTCCTCACCACCCACTGTCTCCCCACCACCCATCTTCTCTCCCACTACCCACCGTCTCCCCCACCACCCACCGTCTCCCCATCACCCACCGTCTCCCCACCACCCACCGTCTCCCCACCATCCACTGTCTCCCCACCACCCACTGCGTCCCCACCATCCACCGTCTCCCCACCACCCACTGTCTCCCCACCACCCACTGTCTCCCCACCACCCACTGTCTCCCCACCACCCACCGTCTCCTCACCACCCATCGTCTCCTCACCACCCACTGTCTCCACACCACCGATCGTCTACGCACCACCCACCGTTTCCCCCACCACCCACTGTTTCCCCACCACCCACTGTCTCACCACCACCCACTGTCTCCACACCACCTACTGTCTCCCCACCACCCATCGTCTCCCCACCATCCACCGTCTCCCCACCATCCACTGTCTCCCCACCACCCACCGTCTCCCCACCACCCACCGTCTGCCCACCACCCATCGTCTCCCCACCATCCACTGTCTCCACACCACCGATCGTCTACCCATCACCCATCGTTTCCCCCACCACCCACTGTCTCATCCACCACCCATCGTCTCCCCTCCCCCACCGTCTCCCCACCACCCACCGTCTCCCCACCACCCACCGTCTTCCCACCACGTATAAGTTCTATCAAGCGCCTGAACTACTGGGAACACTTGGAAGCACTTGACTTGTACTCGCTGGAACGCAGGAGAGATATATCATAATCTACACTTGGAAAATCCTAGAAGGAATGGTCCCGAATCTGCACACAGTAAAAGACTGGGCAGGCGATGCAAAATACCCCCAATTAAAATTAGGGGCGCCATTGGTACACTAGGAGAAAACACCATAAGTGTCCGGGGCCCAAGACTGTTCAACAGCCTCCCACCAAGCATAAGGGGAATTACCAATAGGCCCCTGGCTGCCTTCAAGAGAGAGCTGGACAGATGCCTAAAGTCAGTGCCGGAGCAGCCGGGCTGTGGTTCGTACGTTGGACTGCGTGCGGCCAGCAGTAACAGCCTGGTTGATCAGGCCCTGATCCACCGGGAGGCCTGGTCGTAGACCGGGCCGCGGGGGCGTTGATCCCCGGAATAACCTCCAGGTAGACCACCCACGGTCTTCCCCACCACCCACCGTCTCCCCACCACCCACCGTCTCCCCACCACCCACCGTCTCCCCACCACCCACCGTCTCCACCACCACCACCGTCTCCACCACCACCCACCGTCTCCCCACCACCCACCGTCTCCCCACCACCCACCGTCTCCCCACCACCCACCGTCTCCACCACCACCCACCGCCTCCCCCACCACCCACCGTCTCCCCACCACCCACCGTCTCCCCCACCACCCACCGTCTCCCCACCACCCACCGTCTCCCCCACCACCCATCATCTCCCCACCACCCTCTACCACCACCACCCAACGACAGCATCATCCAGAGAAACCAAACTCAACTACCTTATTCACTCCATCAAACAACTCTTTAACTAGTCACTTCATTCCTCCACAGCCTCCACCCACTCACCCTCCCTCCACCCATCCACCACCCACTCACCCTCCCTCCACCCACCACTCACCCGCTCTCCTTCCAACCACAGCCACAATATCACTTTAACAGCCTTCTAATACAACTTAAAATATACCAAACAAAAACAGGAGCGAATGACACACCGGAGAGGCTAGATCTAGTATTAACCTCAAGTCATTTTGTCATCGGAAAGAGTAACTTTGAACCAGGAAGACAAGGAAATGATGACATACATGAAGACAATTTAACTACGAGAGAAATGAGAGTTTTGCCTAAACGAGGCGAGATGAACTCACAGGCCCCCCCCCCCAAAAAAAATTAAATATACGTAACAATGAGTTCACCAGATGAAGGTGGCAAGAGATGACAGGAAGATACTTGTCCACCCATAAATACGCTGGATCTATAGTTGAACAGGTTTCCCGTAGTTGAAGAGGCAGTGTAAGACAGCGTGGATGCAATACTAGCAAGCAACGGTAGCAGTAGCAGCAGTAATAGGATCAGGAGCAGGAAGCAGCAGGAGAGCGAGGAATTATTACACTCACACCAGAAAGACACGTGGAGACTTCGAAAGCTACACAGCGGGAATGCTACAACCTAGCCAAAACTGCTCCATATGTACACTAGGAGGAAGAAAATGAGAGTGAAAGACCTTGCTGAGAGTGAACAAGTGAAGACGACCTACTCACAGAACGTGACAAGGAGGTCAGTACAGGTATTAAGCAAAACCTTCCAGAACTTATAATTAAGTGAACATGATCCACTGCGAGACGAGGGAAAATAAACAACTAACATCAACACATCAACATCAACAACCAACAGAGCAAAACCAGGAGGCACATCAACGCATCAACATCAACGCATCATCATCAACGCATCAACATTAACGCACCAACATCAACGCACCTACATCAACGCATCAATATCAACGCATCAACATCAACGCACCAACATCAACGCATCAATATATTTTCAGCTTATTTTTAAAGCTCCCCGATATATAAGCTTCAGTAACCGCACAAGAACAAGCCTCCATGCACACCTCCACGGGTGTTCATTTTTAGTTCGTCATCTGTTTCTTTGACGAGTGTTTCGACTGTTCCTCCCTTCTTCATTGTTATTATTTGCACCTTCACACTCATTTTCCTCCTTGTGTGGCTATGAAGCGGTTTTATAGTTCTCTTTCTCTCTCTCTCTCTCTCTCTCTCTCTCTCTCTCTCTCTCCTCTCTCTCTTCTCTCTCTCTCTCTCTCTCTCTCTGTCTCATTTCAAGGTTTTTTCATATGTGTGTCACCTCACCTGCCTGCTTGTCAGTTCCTTTTTTCTGTTTTATGTGCTCTATATATTCTGTAAATACTTTTCTCCTTGCTGTGGTCACGGTTCTGTTGTGGTGATGGTTCTCATTGTTGTGGTAATGGTTCTCATTGTTGTGGTAATGGTTCTCATTGTTGTGGTAATGTTCTGCTTCTTGTGGTGGTGGTTCTGCTTGCTCTGGTGATGGTACTCCTTGCTGTGGTTATGGTTCTTGCTGTGATGGTTCGGTTCTTCTTGCTGTGGTTGCACCACGGGTTTCTCTCTCTCTCTCTCTCTCTCTTCTCCTCACACACACACACACACACACACACACACACACACACACACACACATACATACACTCTCTCTCATCTAACGGACAAGAGAGGGACACCAAGTGATGTAATTATCAGTGTGGTGATGGTGGCGTGTGTATACCGTGTGCGAGGCGAGCGAGGCGAGCCAGCCAGGCGTGAGCCACCAGGCTCAGAGAAAGTAAGAACACGGATCTGGGGCGATCTTTGGCCATCACAAAGGAGAGCACCTCCGCTGGTTTCCCCAAGACAAAGGCCACTGCAAAAATGCCCCGAAAAGTGGACGCTCGTCACAGTGAGTGCTTCTGCCCCAACTGCCTAGTTAGTTACACACCGCTGCCGCTGCTCAGGCGGGAGAGGAAGACAAGACTAGTCTTTATGGCACCAGTAAATAAGAACCATGAAATATTTCTTCCTCCCGCTCGGCCAATGTCTCGCGTCAGATTTTTCGTGAAATTAAACAGAGGAGATGTTGTTTCTGCGTGTTTTGCCGTTGTCCGTGATGGTGTGAGAGGCTTATAACGTCAGGTGGCGGCCGAGACGCGCCAATATAAACGGCACGAGACGAAAACCAGTAAAAACCGGGAAAGCTGAAAAAAAAATGAGGTTGAAGGATTGCCGCCAGGAGTGACCAGCTATTTCCACTGTGTTTCGAAACAATGATGTGTGTTGGTGGCCGCTACTGTTTGAGTTGCCTCTCCATCTTTTCACCGCCTTTCTACCACTCTTCCTTATCCTTCTCTATGCTCCATCCTCCTCCTCTTACTCACTATATATCTAAAGACGAACCTCTCCTCTACAAGGTCCCCTGAAGTAAGTTATTTGTTGAT